AATTTATAATGGTCAGCTTAATAATACTGTGCATTTCTGCAGGTTTGTCAGTGAATGCAAAGAATAAAAGTGGCTTTTTTTTTTTGAAGGTACCTTATTGATTAAAGAGTATAAACAAAATAAATGCCTTTTCGACAAATTTTCTCTGCAGCTACCATCGGGGGCCAGCTGCTGCAGTTTTATCGGACGAATGTATGGATGTTTACTTCTATTATTCTTTCAAATAAACATGTATCCCCACGGTTCAGTTCGGGTGGGGGAGGTTATATGGAGGGTAGATTTAATTGCACAGCTTCAACCCTACTGGACACCTAGTCTAATAAAGACTATGGGCTTCTTTTATCTTTTTTTCAACTCTCCATTTCAGTTGAGTTGCAGATTGTCACGGATAAAGACAATTGCTTACTATTGAGGAAGTTATATTTCTTTGCGCAGTTGATGATGATCACCGGTTTGCTTTGACTGGTTTAAATGTTTTAACAAAGAATTTTGAGTAGGCTGTTCACCATCAAATTATGTAACAAATGCTAAAATACTTCAAGGTTGGTCGCAAATCTTGGAGATATATCAGTGCAATGAAAATATTATGAATAAGATGTCAAAAGCAAAAAAAAAAAAAAAAAAAAAAAAAAAAAAAAAAAAAAAAAAAAAGCATCTCATTCAAGGAATTCTAACATCCCTTGTTTCACCCCAAGCAGGATTTTTTTTCTTTCACGACAGACAAAATGTCTGTTCCTTTCTCAGTATACACTTTTCTTCCCAGGAAGTTTCCTTTAAGCTTTGTTCTGTTTCATGTTTCGATTTAAAGCTCCAAGGAAATAAAAGAAAAATGATAAAAACTAAATTTGGCATTAAAATCAGCAGTTTTCCGATTTCTTAAGGTGAATTCAGTTGATGGTAATTAATATAAACTGCATTAAGTTTGCTGCAATATACAGAATTTAAAAACGTGTAGCATATATAACATTTATTAAAATCTTTATAAATATGTGGATGTTTTGTAGGTGTTATTTAAAGTATTTTTGCTTAAAGCAAAGATGCTTCAGTTATTAATAGCTTTAATAGACAGTGCTTCCAATGCGTGTTTTTTTGTGTGTGTAGTGGTCAGGGTGTAGGCCTTCTCCTAAGGTCACAAAGCGTGTGAATATTATTCAAAACCGCGGCTGCAGCATGGCTACAGTCTAACATAGCTCTATCATGGTCATGCAGGCACATGACACATTGTCTCTCTCTGTTGACACTGAGAGAAAATTCCGGCAACACAACATAATGCACTCCAATTTGCATGCCTGCGTTATATTCCTCCTGGCCTCTCTTTGCCTCAGCCTGCGGGTTACAAAAGAACAAACCAAACCAGAACACTGTTTCCCTCCACAGTTTCAATTGTTCACTTTACAGCCTGCACTAATTTAGACTAGTCATATCTACACAGGAAGGGGTATTTGATTTTTTTTTATTGTGGGCTAAGTGTCTAATCAGAAGCACGTGGCCTCCATTTCAAAGGGTGCAGTCTTTCCGGCCATGACAGTCGCCTTAAAATCTCCATTAGAGGCGGTGCTCTCATCACACGGACACCCTGAACACATCAAGGTTGTAGATTAGAAGCAGAAGAATCAATTCAACATGTCTTCTAATTGTTGTAATATTTGTCTTTGTCTTGTGCTTTAATGGCGCCGTCCTCTGCTTGTGTTTGGACATTTGAAACATCGATGACGCTCAGGACTGTTTCCATCAAAGGGAAGCAAAGCCCTGAAAGTGTGGCCAGCTCTCCACAGCATAGTAATATATTTCTGTTCGTTGAGGTGTTAAGTCTATTTGATGGAGAAAAAAATGTTGTCCCCGAATTGTATTGCTAAAAAAACATATAACAACCTTTATCCATAAAGAAAAACTGAATTTAGTTGAAGTTGCTGCATTGCGCTTTAGCTGTTCCACCAAGGAAAGGGACGGGAGTTTATGATTGGCTATTAGATTTCCACCATTTTTAAATCTTCATCTACCATCAAAGAGCCTAAGGTCCTCATTCCAGATACCGCACTCCCCACCCCCAAATAAGGTATTTGAAAATCATGTACTCCAACTCTCTTTGGGCTTTATAAAGCACACTGCAACAAATAGCTTTCTGATAGATATGCACTTGAAAAAAAATCCAAATCTAGATAATTTTTTCTTAAAATAATTGCATTTCTTCCTGAATTGAGGTAAAATAGACATTTTGCCAATGGAACAAGACAATTTACACTTAAAATAAGAACACACAATTATTTTATTTCAAGTGCATAATTATTAATTATGCACTCTAATTATTGTATTTTAAGAGTAAACATATCAATCCATTGGCAAATCTTATTTATCTTCTCAACCTGAGGCTAAACACACTTAATTTAAGACATTTTTACTAATTTCTAGATCATTTTTGCAGTGTGCATGAAACTTGCGCTTAAATTTATATGAAATAATACCAAATAGGTATTATTAAATAAGTTCCTAGTTTTCCCAGATTAAAAGCCTATGATGTCCAGTTTTAGCTTTTGGTTTCGATGCACCCAAAGGCTATTGGTGGCCCCCATGTGGCCAACCCATTCAAAGCTTCCCATAGTCCCCCATGATTTTATCGCAACGAATCTAGCATTTTCACACGGTTTATTTGCCCTATTCCATTTTAAGAGAACTCTTTGGTACCAAATACAAAGAGTTGTTTCCACGCTTATTTTAGATTAAGAATGTGCGTTTTTTTTCGGGGGGTAGGTAAAAAAGAAAATGAAGGGGAACTTAATTTTTTTCACTCCAACCACGGTAGTATTGTTGTTGTCTTTGATGTTGCTTTTTTTCTCAGTAAATTTGCTGTTATTAACAGCAAAGTTTGACAGAACGCTGAAGAAGCGCCAGAGCCTTTATGTTAGTATCAGAACTATTAAACCACTTAATATCATTCATCTGCATAACATTTATTGCATGTTTTATCACTGCTTTGGCTAAATTTACAGATGCTCTCTTTCTAAAACACACATCTATCAAGAGACTAACTATATAAATGAGGAAAAATAAGTCTACATGCAGAATTACATAAAGATAAAATAAATCCCAAACATTGAGAATGTTCTTCAACTGCAAAAAACATCTAGAATTAAGTATTACATTTTTTTAAATAACTGTATATACCCTTAATTTTAGTAGGTAAATAAGATAATTTGCCAGTGGAATGAGTATTTCTACTCCTAAAATAAGACAATTAGATAATATTAACTTGAATTAAGACAAAACAATTTTTTTTCTTATTTTAAATGTAAATTGATCATTTTTTCCATTGGCAAGGTGTCTTACTTATCTCCTCAATTCAAGGCAAAATTAACTTAATTTAAGCAACAAAAAAAAACTCATACAGATTTCCATTTTTTGCAGTGTCCACAGTTATAATAAAAATAAAGTTTCTTACAGCTTACTTTATTGTCTAACCAATGTAGACTAGTTTAATGTGGATTCAGTTGTTTTATTCCAGCCATGTATTTTATGAACTATACTTATAAGGAGGTAGATCAATAGGGGTTCTGTAGGATTCTGAACTATAGTAATATGTAGACTTTAACAGTAATATCGCAGTTTAATTGCTTATTTGTTTATGCATTAGTAGTAGCAATGAGTTAGAACCAGCTTATAAGAGCAAGTGGGTGACTATTGGGTTATTTGAGAAAAATAAAGGCAGTTTGTTACATTTTGCTTAGATATGTTTAAAGATAATACAACACACCGACAACACAGCAACAAACCCCCTTTTGTGCGAGCAGGAAAACAGGACATAAATTTGATTTATTTTTATTCTTAAATTAATTATAATAGCGTGAAATGATAAGAACATCATGCCTCTCGCTTAGTTTCAAAACATGGTTATTTTCTGACGCTGATATCCCGTTTGAGAAAATATCTGACATTCTGCAGTAACGTGGAGGCGGGGGTCTAGGTGCTGCTTTCCAAATATTGCTCTTGTTTAAAAACGCCAAATACATATAAAAAGCTTGGGTCTAATCTAAAATAAACAAAAAAATGATGCTTCCCTTCGTCTGATCATACGTGTTTTGTGTGCAAATCACCAGACTTATCTATGTGATTATATTTAATACATTGATCCTTAAAATCAGCTGCTATCAAAGACCAACATTGCCCTCTAGCGGGCTTTTTTATCCCTGAAAGTGCTTCAATCAAGATGGAAGGTTACATTTTAAATTGTTTTTTTNTTTTTTTTTTTTTTTTTTTTTTTTTTTTTTGAGAGATCTATATTTTTAGTGAAATAGAATTAAAAATCAAGTCAGCAAGTTCGAGAGCAAAACCGCATTAATACAAATTGGCAACACCTGATGCGCACACAGAGCTTGGAGTAGCTTAGCATTTCACTCTAGAGTCATTAGATGCAGGGCCCACACTGCCATCCATGCAGTCAAAGTGAAGTTTTTTCCCATCGGTGGGAAGTGCAGTTGATGAATAAACCTGACCATTAGATTTGGGGGGGGGGGGGGGGGGGGATGCATTTGGGGTGAATTTCCTCTAAAACAATTCATCGTCCAGACACCCCTGGTGAAAAAAGAGCGTCTATCCTCTGTTTGTCAGCAACAGACGCAAAAAGCCCAAGGAGTAGCTGATAGGGGTTTTCAAAGAGAGGGTGCAATTACTGAGCAGGCTCCATAAACTAATTTAGGCCAGACGTCTGGCCATTTCTATAGCTTTATTGGGCCGCCTTTCTTCCTGCTTTAAAGCAATTACTGATGCAACTTGGACAATAAATTTGAAATCCTCCAAAAATGCGATTTCCAAATAATAAACACTTTATTAGTACTTTAAAACCCACTGTTTTTAAAAAATGCGTCATTTAAAAATATATTTATGTCTTAACTCCTGGTATTTTCTGTTAGAAATAGGATAATATTTGTGGTGTGAAAAAAAATAACTGTCAGAGCTACTTTGAACGTTTTTAATTATGCAATAATTATATCGAATAAGCGGTTTTTTTCTGTAATGATCTCTCCTCTTCAGTAAGCGAAGCTGCACATATGCTTATTATTTTCTGTAAACACTGATCATATATAACTCCCGACGCACATGTCACATATGTGTGTTTGCTCAATGACATAACAGTCAAAAGCTCTAGCTGCAGCAGAAATGTTTTACTCCAAATCTAGAAACAGGCGAAATACACTGGCACATTTCATGTTGCTTTTACGTCCCAGTTTGCAGCTGACGATGGTGAGAAATATTCAAACCAGTTCAGCTTGAAGTGATCCGCCAGGATCTCATCAGAAACAAATTCCTCATATGTGAGGCATATGGGTCCTTGACGGCGTCACTTAAAGGCCCATCTGAAAATGGCTGTACGAAATAGATTTGAGAGTTCAGATCGAGTTTCTTGTTGCAACAAAAACGAGTTTAAATGATCTCCTTGCCGCTTCTTTCTCTGTTCATCTTCTTCATCTTCATCCTCCGGTTCTGGAACCAGATCTTCACTTGTCTTTCTGTTAAACTCAGTATGCGGGCCACCTCGTAGCGCCGGTCCCTTGTCAGATACATATTGTAAAGAAACTCCTTCTCCAGCTCTAAAGTCTGATATTTAGTGTAGGGGCAGCGCTTCTTTCTCGTTGAGCGGGCGTGGATCCAGTTAGCTGCAGGATTGTCTGAAAAACAATCAAACAACAACAACAACAAAAATTAATTTCATATGAGATTATCTCAATCGTGGTTTGAGTTCTTAAATACTCTATTATGGGACATTTGATGGAACGAATGTGTATATAAATTAAGAATTAAAATCATTGTTATAATCTTAAAGCATGATTGATGTAACTGATTTGGTTGTATAAAAAACATTTAAAAAGTTCCCTACCCCTCCCCCTCTGTCCACATCCCTGGTATAATCCAAGAGACTTTTATAGGTTTGTAAAACTGGAGGTTTTACGCACCCAGTCCATGCAGTTCTCCTGGTTGTAAATCAGCATCAGCTATTTCAACTTTTTTTTTTTTTACTTACTTGGGTCAAGTTGTTGCTTCTCGTCTTTGGGCTCGCCATGACTCGAAGCCTCGCTCCCACTCTGCTCCCGGCTCGGCTTTTCCCGACACTCCGCGCTGCCGCAGGAGAACTCCGCCGCCGGGGGACGCGCCTCAGCCCCAGGAACCGTTTCTGTCTCCTCCAGCGGCTCGCAGCCTGCAGGCTTCGTAGGCAAAGGGAGTTCCGGCTTGGTTCCGTACGGTCTGCTGCCGGAGGAGTGGAAACCAGCGAATGAAACGTGGTTGGAAATCGGGTCCATCCAGGAGCGCATGCCGACGTATCTGCTGTCCGACGCGGGCAGATGGGACTGGTGGTGGTGGTGATGGTGGACATAGGGGTGATACAGTCCCTGAGGGTGCATCGAGGTCCAGGATGGGGAGAAAACGGCGGACTTTGGCGTAAAGCTACATGAGGAGAAGTCTGCGCTGTCCCCGGCACCTGGCGGTGGCCTCGGGGTCACGGTGTGCTGGGGCTGGATGAAGCGAGCCCCGTACAGCTCCTCCGGCTCCTGTCCCATTACAGCGTCCACATAGCAGTTACTGAGAGCGCCGCTGGAAGACATTTTTCCATCCCTTCCTTACTCATATAAAAAGGGTCGTGCTGTTAACGGGAAGCTTCCCTCTATGAACAATCATAGTATTTTTGCTGGCCTGCATCTTACAGGGATTGGTTGCATGGATCACGTGATCATATTTACCAATACAGCTAGTGAATCAATCCTCCCCTTTTTCATCAGGTTTGATGTAGATTTTTTTATCGCAGTGAAGGATAAAAACTAATGGGATTTAAATACATGCACCCATGTACATATTCTGAGAAAAAATGCAGCATTAAGATATTTAATTTTAAGATCAATTAGAATTTCTCCTGTTATGTTTAGTAAAACTCTTATGATATCACCCCGACATACCCCCCAATGCCTGTAAAGCTCTTTATAGACTTACAAAGTCCTCGTAAAAGACATGTAATAACACGCTGTAAAGTAGCAGTGGCCGTTTCCGTTCACAATGCGGTGTACGCATTGTTAATATTTGGCAAGGAAGCATATATTATGCTCTACTCAGTCACATTACGGCTTGGATTCATTTTGCAAGTTCATGGAGGAAACGGAGGAGGCTAGAAATATTTTCATTCATGAGAGAAATTATGTTATAATAAATGTTTTATGAGGTGCTGTGATTATACATGTCGTCATTTTTTTCTAAAACAAAAAGAGTCATTTGTTGAGATTTAAAAGTGTTTTATTTTTTTATTTTTTTTATCTCTGTATTCTATTTTGTACTACGGGATGTTCTCTCAAATTCCAAACAGCTGATTTTCTTCCCTCGTTAAATCCTGGTAGGATTTCCAAATTAGAGCAACATAATAATTGAAAGATTTATTTAGCTTTTAAATGTTATAATATAATATGCCGCACGTGCAGTTTTTTTTTTTTTTTTTTTTTTTTTTTTTTTTTTTTT